CCGCGAGATCGTGACCTGGATGAAGTCGGACGCTTAACTGACTGCGCCACCCAGGCGCCCCAAGTTTCCATATATTTTTAAAGTTCTTCTCTAATTGCCTGGTTGACCCATTCATTCTTTAGTAGGGTGTTTTTTAACCTCCATGCTTTTGGAGGTTTTCCAGACTTTTTCCTGTGGTTGATTTCAAGCTTCATAGCATTGTGGTCTGAAAGTATGCATGGTATGATCTCAATTCTTTTATACTTATTAAGGGCTGTCTTGTGACCCAGTATGTGATCTATCTTAGAGAATGTTCCATGTGCACTTGAGAAGAAAGTATATTATGTTGCTCTGGGATGCAGAGTTTTAAATATATCTGTCAAGTCCATCCACTCCAATGTATCATTCAGGGCCCTTGTTTCTTTATTGATCCTGTGTCTAGTTGATCTATCCATTGTTGTAAGTGGGGTATTAAAGTCCCCTGCAATTACCACATTCTTATCAATAAGGTTAATTATGTTTGTGATAGTTTTATATATTTGGGGGCTCCCATATCCGGGGCATAGACATTTACAATAGTTAGCTCTTCCTGATGGATAGACCCTGTAATTATTATATAATGCCCTTCTTCATCTCACTACAGCCTTTAAAGTCTGGTTTGTCTGATACAAGTATGGCTACTCCAGCTTTCTTTTGACTTCCAGTAGCTTGATAGATAGTTCTCTATCCCCTTACTTTCAATCTGAAGGTGTCCTCAGGTCTAAAATGAGTCTTTTGTAGACAGCAAATAGATGGGTCTTGTGTTTTTATCCATTCTGATATCCTGTGTCTTTTGGTTGGAGCATTTAGTCCATTTACATTCAGTGTATTGAAGGATACGGGTTTAGAGTCATTGTCACATCTGTAGGTTTCATGCTTGTAGTGATGTCTCTGGTACTTTGTGGTCCTTGCAACATTTCACTCACACAATCCCCCTTAGGATCTCTTGTAGGGCTGGTTTAGTGGTGATGAATGCCTTCAGTTTTTGTTTGGGAAAACCTTTATCTCTCCTTTTATTCTGAATGACAGACTTTCTGGATAAAGGATTCTAGACTGCATGTTTTTTTTCTGCTCATCACATTGAAGATTTCCTGCCATTCCTTTCTGGCCTGCCAAGTTTCAGTAGATAGGTCTGCCACTACTCTTACGTGTCTATCTTTGTAAGTTAGAGCCTGTGTATCTCTAGCTGCTTTCAGAATTTTCTCTTTATCCTTGTATTTTGCCAGTTTCACTATGATAATGTCATGCAGATGATCAATTCATGTCTGAAGGGAGTTCTCTGTGACTCTTGGATTTCAATGCCTTTTTCCTTCCCCAGATCAGAGAAGTTCTCAGCTATGATTTGTTCAAGTACACCTTCAGCCCCTTTCTCTCTTTCTTCTTCTGGAATTCCTATGATACGGATATTGTTCCATTTGATTGCATCACTTTAGGTCTCTAATTCTCCCCTCATAGTCCTGGATTTTTTAAATCTTTTTCTCAGCTTCCTCTTTTTCCATAATTTTATCTTCTAAATCACCTATTCTCTCCTCGGCCTCTTCAATCTGTGCTATGGCCGCCTCCATTTTATTGTGCACCTCATTTATAGCATTTTTAGCTCCTCATGACTATCTCTTAGTCCCTTGATCTCTGTAGCATAGATTCTCTGCTGTCCTTTATGCTTTTCTCAAGCCCAGCGATTAATTTTATGACTATTACTCTAAATTTTTGTCCCGTTATATTGCTTAAATCGTTTTTGATCAATTTGTTAGCTGTTCTACTTTCTGGAGTTTCTTTTCAGGAGAATTCTTCTGTTTCATCATTTTGGGTAGTCCCTGCAGTGGCTCCAAACTGCAGGGCACTTCCCTTGTGCTGTCTGGAGTAACTTGTGTTGGTGGTCGGGGCCACAGTCAGACTGGTGTGTACCTTATCTTCTCCTCTCCCAGGGGCAGGACTCACTGTGGAGTGGCATGGCCCCTGTCTGGGCTACTTGCAGACTGCCAGGCTTGTGGTGCTGCTTTGATGGGATCTGGCGTATTAGCCGGGGTGGATCTGCAAGGTGCACAGGGCCGCGAGGGGCAGGCTTAGCTCCATTTGCCTTCAGTGGTCCCCTGCGGGAGGGGCCCTGCAGCACCGGAAGGAGCACCAGGAGGGAGGCCGACCCGCCAGAGGGATGGATCCACAGGATCACAGCGTTGGGAGTTTGCATGGTGCAAGCAAGTTCAGTAACGGGAACTGGTTCCCTTTCGAATTTCAGCGGGTGATGGGAGAGGGCGATGGTGCTTACCAGCGCCTTTGTTCTCCCACCAAGCTGAGCTCTGTATTCTTGGGCTCAGCAACTCTCCCTCCCGATGTCCTCTTGCCCTCCCTGCTGTCTGGGAGCAAAGCTGTTGAATTTTAACATTCCAGATGACAGCCCACTGGCTGTCAGAACTCACGGAGTCTGGCCCCTCTGCTTTTGAAGCCAGACTTCAGGGGCTCTGTCTTGCTGGGCAGGCTGCCCCTCCACCACCCCGGCTCCCTCCCACCAGTCCGTGTAGCACCCACCACCTCTCTGCCCTTCCTACCCTCTCCCATGGTCCTTTTGTCTATGCTTGGCTCCAGAGTGTCCGTTCTGCTAGTCTTCTGGTGGTTTTCTGGGTTATTTGGGCAGATGTGGGTGGAATCTAAGTGATCAGCAGGATGAGGTGAACCCAGCGTCCTCTTATGCCACCATATTCCCCTCTGAGCCTTTCTATTTTTTTTTTTTTAATATTATTTTTGAGAGAGAGAGAGGGAGACAGAAAATCTGAAGTAGGCTTCAGGCTCAGAGCTAACAGCTGTTAGCTTCAGCTCTGAGCCTGAAGCCGAGACTGAACGCAACAACTGTGAGATCATGACCTGAGCTGAAGTCACACACTCAACCTACTGAGCCACCCAGGCACCCCACCTTTTGCATTTATAAAGAGCCTCTATTTATTGGTCCTACCATTCTCACAGGTTCGTTTTTATGAACATAGGTACAGGATATTTTGTACAACTTTTTCAGTCAGGTACTACTGAAAAGTGGCAAAAAATTTAATTTGGCAAAGATTATGGAAAAACAGCCACTTATTTTCAAGCCACATTTATGGGCTAAAGGAGAATTTATGGCACATATTCACGTGTCCAAACAACGGAAAATAAAGAGTTTACATACATTTTATATACATACCTTTACTAAGCAATTTTTATGTCCAGGTACAGAGCCATTTACATAGATTATATTGTGCTTTGTGTTTATTCTCCACACCTAAAGTAAGAAATGCAATTTCAGTAGTTAAAAATTTGAGAATATACTTGTATTAAAACAAGCAATATGTTACTACAAGCTGAGTCTATAAGTAGCCTAAAAAGTAATCATCATATTAGCACTTCAAAAAATTTTTTTTTAATTTTTTTAATGTTTTTATTTTTGAGAGAGACAGAGTGTGAGTGGGGGAGGAGTAGAGAGAGAGGGAGACAGGATCTGAAGTAGGCTCCAGGCTCTGAGCTGTCAGTGCAGAGCCTGACGTGGGGCTTGAACTCACAGACTGCGAGATCAAGACCTGATCTGAAGGGACGCCCAACCGACTGAGCCAGCCAGGCACCCCCTAGCACTTCAACATGTTGAATGAGAATAGGAAAAATTCAAATGCTATGGATGACTTGTAATATGAGTATAACAGATGTGTTATGAAAGTGGTAGCAGCAATCCCTATCAAAATAACACCAGCATTCTTCACAGAGCTAGAACAAACAGTCCTAAAATTTGTACGGAACCAGAAAAGACCTTGAATAGCCAAAGCTATCTTGAAAAAGAAAACCAAAGCAGGAGGCATCAGACTTATAGTTGTATTACAAAGCTGTAATCATCAAGACAGTATGGTACTGGCACAAGAACACTCAGATCAATGGAACAGAATAGAGAACCCAGAAATGGACCCACAAACGTATGGCCAACTAATCTTTGACAGAGAAGGAAAGAATATCCAATGGAATAAAGACAGTCTCCAGCAAGTGGTGCTCGGAAAACTGGATAGTGACATGCAGAAAAACGAACTTGGACCACTTTCTTAAACCATACACAAAAATGAACTCAAAATGGGGGCGCCTGGGTGGCGCAGTCGGTTAGGTGTCCGACTTCAGCCAGGTCACGATCTCGCGGTCCGTGAGTTCGAGCCCCGCGTCAGGCTCTGGGCTGATGGCTCAGAGCCTGGAGGCTGTTTCCAATTCTGTGTCTCCCTCTCTCTCTGCCCCTCCCCCGTTCATGCTCTGTCTCTCTCTGTCCCAAAAATAAATAAACGTTGGAAAAAAAAAAAATTTAAAAAATGAACTCAAAATGGATAAAAGACCTAAATGTAACACAGGAAGCCATCACAATCCTTGAGGAGAAAGCAGGCAAAAACCTCTTTGACCCTGGTCATGCAACGTCTTCCTCAACGTCTCCAGAGGCAAAGGAGAATGGGAGTAGATATTTATTTGCAAATGACATATCAAATACAGGATTAGTATCCAAAATCTAAAAAGAACTTATCAAATTCAATACCCAAAAAACAAAGAATCCAGTAAAGAAATGGGCAAAAGACATGAATAGACACTTCTCCAAAGAAGACATCCAGATGGCCAACTGACACATGAGAAAATGCTCAACATCACTCATCATCAGAGAAATACAAATCAAAACCACAATGAGATACCACCTCACACCTGTCAGAATGGTTAACATTAACAACTCAGGCAACAATAGATGTTGGCGAGGATGCAGAGAAAGAGGATCTCTTTTGCACTGTTGGTGGGAGTGCAAGCTGGTGCACCACTCCGGAAAACAGTATGGAGGTTTCTCAAAAAATTAAAAATAGAACTACCCTATGACCCAGCAACTGCACTACTAGGTATTTATCCAAGGGATACAGGTGTGCTGTTTCGAAGGGGCACATGCAACCCAATGTTTACAGCAGTGCTGTCAACAATAGCCAAAGTATGGAAAGTGCCCAAATGTCCATTGATGGATGAATGGATAAAGAAGATGTGGTGTATATATATATATACAATGGAGCATTACTCAGCAATCAGAAAGTATGAAATCTTGCCATTTGCAACTACGTGGATGGAACTAGAGTGTATCATGCTAAGTGAAATTAGAGAAAGACAAATATATGACTTCACTCATATGAGGACGTGAATAGACAAAACAGATGAACATAAAGGAAGGGAAGCAAAAGTAATATAAAAACAGGGAGGGGGACAAAACAGAAGAGTCTACTAAGTATGGAGAACAAACAGAGGGTTACTGGAGGGTTTGTGGGAGAGGGGATGGGCTAAATGGGTAAGGGGCATTAAGGAATCTACTCCTGAAATCATTGTTGCATGCTAACTTGGATGGAAATTAAAAAATAAGTAAATTATAAAAAAAAAAGTGGTAGCAAGTTTTCATTTTATTTATTCATTCATTTTAAGTTTATTTATTTTGGGAGAGAGAGCATGTGCAAGAGGGGCAGAGAGAGTCAGTGTGGGCCTGTATGGTGCTCAAACTCGTGAATGTGTGAGATCATGACCTGAACTGAAATCAAGAGTGGGATGTTTAATCAACTGAGCCACCCAGGTGCCCCAACTCTCATTTTAAATATAAATATGATTATATCTAATACAGGGGTGAGTATCCCAACTCTATAAAGAATTTATCAAATTCAACACCGAAGAAACAAATAATCCAGTGAAGAAATGGGCAAAAGACATGAAAGACATTTTCCAAAGAAGACATCCAGATGGCTAATAAACACATGAAAAGATGCTCAACATCACTCATCATCAGAGAAATACAAATCAAAACCAAAATGAGATACCACCTCACACCTATCAGAATGGCTAAAATTAACAACACAAGAAACAACAGATGTTGGCAAGGATGTGGAGAAAGGGGAAACCTCTTGCACTGTTGGTGGGTATGCAAACTGATGCAGCCACTCTGGAGAACAGTACAGAGGTTCCTCAGATAGTTAAAAAGAGAACTATCCTATGATCCAACAATTGCACTGCTTGGTATTTACCCAAAGGATACAAACATACAGATTTGAAGGGGTACGTGCACCCCTATGTTTATAGCAACATTATCAACAATGGCCAAAGTAAAGAGCTCAAATGTCCATTAACTGATGAATAAAGAAGATGTGGTGTGTATACAGATACAATGGAATATTACTCAGCCATCAAAAAGATTGAGTGTTGCCATTTGCAACGACGTGGATGGAGCTAGAGTATATTATACTAAGTGAAATAACTCAGAGAAAGATAAATACCATATGATTTCACTCATATATGGAATTTAAGAAACAAAACAGATGGACATATGGGAGGGGGGAAGATGAAAAAAGAGGGAGGGAAACAAACCACAAAAGACTCTTAAAGATAGAGAACAAACTGAGGGTTGATGGAGGGAAGCAGTAGGCTGATGGGTACTAAAGAGGGAACTTGTGATGAGCACTGGGTATTGGATGTAAATGATGGATCACTGAATTCTCCTGAAACCAATACTGAACTGTATGTTAACTAGAATTTAAATAAAAATTTGAAAATAAAGTAGTAATTTTATTTCAATTTTATTTAATACTAGCTTCCTGCAATTAGAAACTAGGGAAGTTACAACTTCTCTGGGTCTCATTTTCAAAATAAGTGTGCTGAGGAGATGGCTCTCATGTCCATGGCCTTTCATGTGAAAAAATTTACACAAAGGGAGAGAATGGTCAAGAAATGGTAGTGAAAGAACAAAGCATGTGAGGTGAAAATAAAGTCTGACCCACAGTTCATAGCTAATAAAGGCTAAGTGTTAAAATACTATGGAAACTGAAATATCTCACATATACACACATGCAAATACCACCACCCCACCCTGGACATACAAAAATATCCACAAACAGATACAAACAGGTGATCTCTCACAGATGTAAAAATAATAGAAGGGAATAAAAATCTTTGGAGTGCCTGCGGGACTCAGTGGGTTAAATGTCTGACTCTTGATTTCATCTCAGGTCATGATCACATGTTTGGTTTGTGGGACTGAGCCCTGCATTGGGCTCTGCTGCTTGGGATTCTCTCTCCCTCTCTCTGCCCCTCCCCCACTCATGGAAGCTCTCAAAATAAATTAAAAAAAAAAAGGAACAAACCTTCAGATTTAAAGTTTAAAAAACTCTGCTGGTCAGAATTTATAAATAAGTAAAAAAATATATATCTAGAATAGAGGCTGGAAGAACATGAACCAAAATGTTAATAGTGTTTATCTTGGGGTATTGTTTTCAAGAATAGCTATTCTCTTTGTACTTTCTATACTTTGAAATGTATACACATACATATAGAAACACTGGTTATTTGTCAAATTCCTCAGATTAGCGGGGATTGAATTTAACTTCTCCCCTTTAAATATATATAATTATTTTATAAAGATGGATATAGACCACAATCCTTTTTTTAGTACTATCTTTCCCTCCTGTGTTGATGGTCTCCCTCTCTCCTCCTCTACATCCACTTTTATCCATCCACATCTTTGACATATAATCCAAAATAATCTGGCACGTAATCCCACTTTTCTCTGTGCTTATGTAACGGCAGAGCCACATATACATGTAGGGAGCTTTTGTTCATTAGTTGATAGAAGGGCAGTATTCTACACAATGCTCTGAATCTGACTTTTGTTCACGTGCTGTCTTCCTGTAGAAACCTACCAGATCAAATAGATGACTTTTTCTTTTTATGACGGCACATTCCACAGCTTGGGTGTTAGATGAACACATTACCAACACAGACTATGGCTATACACACACAGAGTTCAAGTATCAGAACGATTCTACACAGACACACATGCAGAACATCCTCTGGTGCCTTTGCATTCAGGCATTAATTTAACTATTCCTAAAAAAGAGTAACTTCAGAAACTTACTTTTAGTCCATATTCTGTCCTATCTTTGTTTCCCATTTGTCCAGGCATTTTAGTTCCAGGCCAGACTCTGGCAACATCCTACACAAGAAAACCAAAATTAGCACTGTTAAGTACTCTCAATTTCAAATAGAACAGATCAAACTGAAATGCAAACTGAGACAGGAGTTATTAAAATGTTGGACTTTTTCCTCATTCTGCTAGGCCCCAGTAAGGAACTAAATATGGATTTAGACATATTTACCCCAGAGGATTTCCTTTCTAAATTAAGTTAGAGCAACAAAATAAATACAGACTAAGAAACATATGTAGGAGAAAAACTCAGTAACAAGAGAGTAGCAACTGAGCTAACACCAGTTGAGAAGGAGAAAAGAAAAATTACAGGACATAAATACACGTCACACCACCATTCAAGGAAGACTTGACTGCCTGGTCTGTTTTCACTAATGTTCTGTATTAACTGACTTAATGGACTCCATCCACACCACTGCTGCTGGAATGGTTCCACTCCCCCACTCTTACTTTTGATGTTACTCTCCTTCCCCAGAATGATTAAAGGACAGAATTAGTTATTAGAATATCGAGTTTGTCCAGTCCTGGTTGTCTCTGATTCATATAATTCAAACAGCTTCACACAGTCTCTCTGATTCTGGCTTTGGTAACGGATAATACTACATCTAAAGAAGCAAATTTGAATTACATCTCAAATGGGAAAGCTTCTCATGACACATGAACTCTTGGAATATAAACACTTCTGTATCACTAATCTGACAACCCACAAAACTCCCACGGAAGTTGCTCACCATAGCATTAGAGTTGGTTACTATGTAACCAACACAGATTAAAGACAATTCTGCATGTTACAGACTATCACTCTTATTCATTCTAGAAACACACTCAGTGATAGGCACACCTTGTTTAACATTACATTACTAAAAAAGGACTCTGCCCCCCCCCCCCGATTAAGTTTACATTCTCATTAAAAGTACACCCTCTCTGGATTATAAAGGTATTTACCAGCTAATCCTGAATGGCAGTATTTACAAACACAGAACAGTGTACTTCATGACAAATAACTAAGCTGAGTGATAAAAATAGGTTCTTCTACATGTCATTTATTTATTTCATGACAATTAACTAATGAGTCATGTTCTTCCACATGCCATTTTAATTGTGTGTGTGTGTGTGTGTGTGTGTGTGTGTGTGTGTGAGAGAGAGAGAGAAAACAAGCCTAATTTTTAAAAGAGCTAGGGGTGCCTTAGTGGCTTAGTGGGTTAAGCATCTGACTGTTGACATCAACTCAAGTCATGATCTCACAGTGTGAGACTGAGCGCCACGTAGGGCTCTGAGTTGAGCATGGACCCTGCTTGGGATTCTGTCTCTCCCTCTCTCTCTGCTCCTCCCCTGCTCAAGCTCTAAGTAAATAAATAAATAAATAAATAAATAAATAAATAAATAAATATTTTAAAAAACAAAAGAGCTTTGTTGAAGTACAATGCACATACCACACATTTTACTCTTTTTAAAGTATACAATTTAAATTAAAAAACATTTTTTTAAAAATTTACCCATTTATTTGAGAGAGCACGTGTATGTGAGAGGCGGAGGGGCAGAGAGAGAGAATCCTAGGCAGGCTCCGTGGCGTCCCAACACGGGGCTCGATCCTATGAACTGAACCATAAGATCATGATCTGAGCTGAAATCAAGAGTCGGAGGCTTAACCAACTGAGCCATCCAGGCTCCCCTAAAGTATACAATTCAAAGATTTGAGTATACACAGAGAGTCGTGTATTACCACAAACGATCTTAGAACATTTTCATTCAATCTCAAACAGATATTCCAAACCCATTAGTGGTCACTCCCTCCAACTCCCCCCAGCCCTGTGCAACCACTAATCTACTCTCCTCTCCAGAGATTTGCCTACAATGGACATTTCACGCAAATGGAATCATATAATATGTAGTCTGTGACTGGTTTCTTTCCCTTAGCATGTTTTCAACGTTCATCCATGTTGCGGCATGTATCAGTACTTCATTCCACTTTATTGCTAAGTAATACACTACATTTAACTACCTATTCATCAACTGATGAACATTTGGGTTATTTCTCTTTTTTGGCTATTATGAATACTGCTATGAATATTCAGCAGACAGAGAGCTAAGGAACAAATAAATACACACATATGAACATTTCTATTTCTCTTATATACATATACAGTAAACGTATACGGATATCTACAATCTGAATTCAACCCTATAGGGTTTGTTCTAATTTCCCTCCTTTTCATACCTGAGTATCTTTTTCTAATAGTGAGAAATTTGCTCCCATTGTCAATATATTCACTTATCATATTCAATCCTATAATTTACAGGAAATTATTTCAGAACACAAAATCCCTTCTCCATTTTCTATGTTCTTATTGTTTGTTTCTCCATTTTTCCTCTACTACTTCTCCCTTGCATGATACCATTCTTGACAATCTTCCCCAACAGTCTCTGTTAAGGCAAAGATGACTCTGGGAAGGAACCAGTGGGGCAGATTGCAAGGGCATTCTAATATCGGATTTCTTGCCGCAGACTTCAGAGGGCAGGATGGGAGACAGAGATGGAAATGAGAAAGCAGGAAGGAAAAGTACTGAGAAGACTGGCTGTAAGTATGTGGGTTATTATGAAATGATTCACGTCTGGCTCTGGAAAGTGAGACCAGGACTCATAAAAATGTGACAAGTACTATGACCCACCTGGAGTCAGATTAAAATTATGTGACTTGATCCCAAGAACAGACTAGAGCACTGTATGTGCAGAAGCTGAATATTTAGCATTAAAAAGAGGTCACTCAAGTTATACTTACACCAGTTGAAACAGCCCCAGGTCTCCTGTGGGTTTTTGTTTGACCATGAGTAGCAGGCTGGCCTTTAAATCCCCATCTTTTCATGACGCCTTGAAAACCTTTACCAATACTGAACAAGGTAGACATTAGAATTTATATAATAAACAGAGCATAAAATATTCCCAACTGTCCATTTTCTTAATAGTACCTTAGAATTTTAACAACGCTGCTTATCTAAATAACTGGGAAAAGCTATGCAAGGAAAACTGCAAATGAACAGTTCTTTACCTATGTCCTGGTCTGCACCCCTTCCTGGAGCCTCATTCCATATAAAATGATTAATTCAAAATTATGAGACAAGCTAAGCAGAGGAAGTTCTATCTGAACAGGGAGTTTTATTATCCTGTAAAACAAGGGTAAAGCTCTAGAAATTCCAAAGTACTCATAAGCTATGTAGCAGGCAACCATTAAGATCCCCACCACCTGGTACTCATGCCCTTGTGTAATCACCTCCCCTGGAGTCTGGGTACGCCTAGGAACTCAGGTCTAAGGAATAAACTGTGGCAAAACAATAAAAGGTCACTTCTGACATTAGGTTACAAAGAGACTGTGGCTTCCTACTTGGCACACTCTTCCTGCTGGGCTCTGGAGGAAGTCAACTGCCATTTCCTATAGAGTGTCATGTGGTAAAGATGTCTCCAGCCAACAGCTATGGTCCTAAGCCTTGCCAAGGCCAGGTCAGTGAGCTTGGAAGGCAGTGTTCAGGTTGAACCGAGATGACTACAGCCTTGACTGCCTGGTTGCAGCCCTGTTAGAGACCCTGAGCCACAGGCACTCAGCTAAGTTGTACTGGGATTCCTGGTCCCAGAAACTGTGAGGTAATACATGTTTGTTGTTTTAAGCTGTTATGTTTTGGGGTAATGTGTTAAGTGGCAATAGGTAATAGAACACTAAATAAAACTGTAACAGTGCCCTAATGCTGGACAAAGTTTACTTTTATAAGTTATCCGATGGATCTTGCTCTCAAGGTTTGAATAGGAAGCTCACAGAGAAATAGAATCAGAGACTAGCAATTTCTTAAAAATCTAGTATTTCAATTTTTAAATAAAACCATTCTGTTTTCAAATTCTGCTCAGTAGAGAAACATTCTGTGATGCAAGTAGAAAGTGGGTAATACTAAGGTTCAGCATTATTAAAGTTGTCTTTGTCAAATATATCAGCACAAAGATACAATGAAAGGGCTAGAATGCATTGCAAGGCTGTACCAAATGTATCTGTATACTCTTAAGATAATACCTTTTTTGCCTTTCACTAGATAATATGTCAACATATTTTTAATGCTGTATTCCTTAATGTTAACAAAGCTAAATATTATTAGTGCATAGTTCAGGTCACTTACAAAATGGACCAAATGCACAAGATCATAAAAACCATGTTCTTTCCACAAGGACTTTGTTAAGTATTTGTCAATGATCAGAGAGTAATGGATTGAAGTAAGCCCATACAAGTAAAAGTTTGTCTTAAATTAAGTCAGTAATTCAACATAAAAACAATATGAACTATGTATGTGTAGAACCTAACAGCTGAATATTATCAAATCACAGGTCAAAAGTTACTTGTATAGGAATAATTTAAATGTAGCTCACACCATTTTCTTCACATTAATCAACTGAATGCATCACTGATGATGTGCACATAATTCTGCCTTGCCTCAAAAACTCAAGATAATGTTTATTCCTAGTCAAAGAGCTAAAATAGTATATATATTAACTTAACATATATTAAATGAGAAATCCACTATAACTTTTGCAAGGAGATTATCATCTAAGAACAGAAACTGTGATAATCAAATGTTTTACTGAAATTTTGCTTCTGAAACTTATATATTTCTAGTTAATGCTGCATTTTAGAACATTTGAAAAATAAAATGCTTGGCAATTTAAAAATAAAGAAGAAATACCTACAAAGTCATCTGACCCTCCGGATAGTATCTGGCAAATAACACTTTAAAGAGAAAAAGAGAGGGGACTAGCAACACTAATCTAAACTGAACATGTTTTAAAAATGCCACATTCTAACACTGCTCATTCTTGGTAGAAAGTTTACTAGTACCTTCTGAGTTCTCAAACTGATTCATCGCTTACTTAAAGAGTGCTAGTGTGTGCACCAATAAAACAAATGCCAGGTAGATTACAGAAGATAATTTAGGTCGTTTTAAGAGTACATGCTTATAAGACGAAAGCAGCATCCTGAAAGTGCTAATTATCTGTTGACTAATTACAGACTGTTTTTCAATCTAGTTCTAGAATGCATCATGTTGTTATGCTGTGAACAATGGGAACCTCTTCAGTAAATAACCTTTAAACAACAGGATAAATGCAAATGACATGACAAATTATTGGCCCAATTCAGATGATGGAGAAGAGACTGCACCTGTTGATCCATGGGCGGTACAGGTATCTATTCTACTGCTTCTCTCAGTTGTCACCCAACTGGAGAACGAAAACAAAACAAAAGCCAAGAAGAGAACTGAACTATATACTTAGCATACCCAGTCACATTTCAAATATAAGGTTTTCACAGGTCACATAAAAGAAAACCTTTATTTTACTAAAAAGGATACACAGCACATAACACATATGCTTTACCTCCCTACCCCTTTTCTGCTGTAGGTTTTAGTTAGCAGAAAAAAAATCAAATAAAGGAAAATTCAAGTCAGAAAGAACACAATGTGAGATGTTCCAAATTTCGTGAGATTTATCAGAAAATTAGGAAAAACATAAAAATTTATTTAAGGCATTTATACTTGATAAACCAAAAATTCATCAGAAAGCTCAGAGATCCTATTAAATTTAGGAGAATACTGCCCTTGTTTCTCAGTCCATTTCCCCTTAGTATACTTTAAATTCATGAAGGGCAGGGGATTGTGTTTTATTCAACCCCTGTACCCAACCTAGAAAAGTCAGTTATTTTGTTACTGACTATAGCTGTGTCTTAGGAAGAAGGCTAATTCTTTTCCTGTATTTTGTCCTATAGTTTCCAAACGTTGTGTATAACGGGCATGCCTTAAGATGATGGTGTTGGGGCGCCTGGGTGGCGCAGTCGGTTAGGCGTCCGACTTCAGCCAGGTCACGATCTCGCGGTCCGTGAGTTCGAGCCCCGCGTCAGGCTCTGGGCTGATGGCTCGGAGCCTGGAGCCTGTTTCCGATGCTGTGTCTCCCTCTCTCTCTGCCCCTCCCCCGTTCATGCTCTGTTTCTCTCTGTCTCAAAAATAAATAAAAAACGTTGAAAAAAAAAATTTTAAGATGATGGTGTTAAAAAAGGGGGAGGAGGGGCTTAAAGGTATGACAATCATAGCATCTCACAGAAGAAAATGCATAGTTTAATGTTTCCCCACTGCATTTTATAAATCTCTAGAGATCACTGTTATGTGAATTTCATTCCCTTGGTGTATTATGTCAAAAGCATAAATGTCTATCAGTAGACACACAGATTTTAATACAAATCCATCATGTATTTCCCCACACTGCAGGAAACTGCCGTTGACTGCATGATTCTAGATATACTTGTATAGGTGATAAAACAAAATGCCCACAGGTGAGGAATGCTCTCAACTCCATTCATTCTGAGTCCTTGGAGAACTTCCTCCCAAATTCTCATCACCAAGTTTTTCCCTCGACATGGGCTTCTTCTATCTTTCTTTCCTTGGTATTGCTTTTTCTCCTTCTTGGGAAGCAAATGGTTCCCCCTTCATTCCCAAATCCAAAGACTTTTATAAAAATCAATTTTTATTATGGAAATTTCAAAACTTAGTCAAAAGCAGAGAGACAAGTACAATGAATAACCTATGTATCCCATCACCCAGGGCCAAATATTATCAACTCAAGGCTTATTCTGTTTTATCTATTCCTCTCCTCTGTTAATGAATTATTTTGAAACAAATTCCAGGTATATCATTTCATCCATAAACATTTTAATATGGATCTCTTTTAAAGATCCTTTTCAAGAACAAAACCACAATACCATTATCACAATCTAAAAAAATCAGTGATTCTTAATATCAAGTAACTAGTCAGTGTTCAAATTTCTATGGCCTTTTTAAAAATAGAGTTGTCCTCTATCCTTCCTGCTTACCACCCTTCCCCTCACTACTCTCAGTCATCATTTCCTCCCTATTTTTCCGCTTCTCTAACACTCTTTGAGAAGTTTCTTACCTCTTGCTGCTACATGAAACGATGGTCTTAAGAGTCCTGCTGCTGACCCTCATTTCAATATGGTTTAAATCAGGGTTGGCAAACTACAGCCTACAGTGGCCACTTTTGTAAATAAAATTTTACTGGAACATAGCCATGTACATTTATTTACTTATTGCCTACGGCTGCTGTGGAGCTATAATTTGCAACAGAGAACATAATGCTTGTAAACCTCAAAAATTTTAAATCTGGCCCTTTGAGAAAAAGTCTGCTGACTCTTGAACCTATTACTAACAAGCCAGGGTTTCACAAACCTTGCCCTCTGGCAAGAATTCTGCTACTATCTCATTCCACACATGTACTGTCCATAACTAATCAGAAGTATCACAGCCATTCAATCATAATGTTTCAGAAACAGAAACTGAACATCTCTCTTTCTTCAAGCTATGCTCCTTTAGAGACACTAGAGTGACATTCCTAAGACAACAGTCTTTTCACACAAGCTTTCCCCTGCTTTAAAAAGCAAAACAGCAACAACAACAAAAACAAGCAAACTAAACCATAACCTTAGGTGGCTGTCAGTCAGTAACTTCTTTAGCTTGGGGTATACGACACCTTTTATAACTAGGTCCACTCTACCTTTCAAACACTGCCCATCCTAGTCATAGGAGATTATTCTGTGAATCCCTAAGTATGCCACTCTCTTTCCTGTTTTTGCTCATTCTGCTCCCTCAGCCTCAAATACCCTTCTCACTGCATTGTCTTTCTACTTTTACCATGAAAAAGAACTGAAAGTGTTTGTCGTCATGTGTTACATCAGCTACAAAGTACTTGATTTTTTTTTATTAAAAATAATCAAAATCCATACTGTAAGTAGAGGTTTTTGTATCAGAACCATTTCTAAATTGAGTTTTACTTTTTCTCTTTACCTGATTTA